ATGTGAGAAAAGAAAATGATCATTGTCAGTCTTTTATAAATAGCTTGTACAACCAATTATATTGTCTCACAATATAACACAGTTGCTAAAAGATAAAATACCATTGTTTTTGCATCATGCTTAAAGGAGAACTATGAGGTTAAGGCTTTTCCCCATAGTTCTCCTTAGGGTAACGGGAGGCCACAAACTAGCGTCCTCCCGTCACCCTAGGCTCAGCATACTGAGATGCCGCAGTATACCGCGAGCTGCTGCTCGCGGTATACTGAGACGTCGCAGCTGAAGCAGATCCCGAAAATTGTGCTGGGATCCGCCCAGCTGCGTGACAGCTGGCTCTGCCTATCTAGAGGCAGAGCCAGCTGTACCCGTCCGTTCCGCCAGTCAGCACTGGCGGATCGGAGCGGGGAATCCAGCCCGCTCTCCTGTCACGGCAGAGAGCCGTGACAGGATCGAGAGGTGAGCGAACGCCGATATGTGTTCGCTCACCTCCCGATCTACTAAGCCTACCTGTGTCTCATTGTCACAGGTCGGCTAGAACTATGAGGTGATTGAAAAGCACTCACCTCATAGTTCTCCTTTAAAGAGGACCTGAATTGTGGAAGCTGTGCTCAAATAAAGGCAGGCAGAGGACAAAGGACTAATCATCCATATTGTCTATGGTCTCCCTGCAACTTTTCGTCATTACTTACATACCATGCCTTGTTCTGCGGTGTGTCTGTGTGGAGGTGACCATCTTGGTAGAGCAGCAGGGCTTTCCCTCCTGTCAGAGAAGCATCCCTGATGACTGGTGATCTGTTGACTGGTAGGGGAATATTAAAGAAGCAGCAGGTGATGCATAGAAAGCACAGATCCCACAATAAATAAAGCAGAAGCAGCTTTTTCTACAACAGCAAGCAGCCTGGTAATGACATCACCAAATGTTACTCCAAAACTTGTGAGACCAGCAGTCAGAGGAAGCAGTGCCATAGAAGCACTGTAGATAAACAACTATGGTGCTCATCGCACATGAGTTGCGCTGCACGTTTTCAGTAGTAATTCAAGTCGAAACGTAACTTTTCAATTACTGTTTGGGCACAATTAACCTTTACTAGATTTTGTGTATTGCTTTCATGTACATGTTTCAAACAGCCAGGGCATTATGCAGTTTACTTAAAGCTAAGTTCCAGGATGAATGATGTTGCATTGCTAGCATTCCCTCCCCGCCGGCCATGCAAGGATCAAGTCTATTTTGAAAATTGATTACCAGTATCTTAAAAAACACTTAAAAGTTATGGATGTGTGATCCTTATGAAGCCATCCTTTCCTCTTCTATAAGGCATAATGAGAGGGAAAAAAGGAACTGTACCTCTATGGCCCATTATAGTTATGTATTCTGCTGTTTTGGACTACACTTACTCTGAGTTACAGGGATAAAGCATTACTTGGTGGGCTGCAGGGCATTGCTACTTATAACTCATCAGTGATGCTGTTTCCCTGATGATGACACGCCCTGTGCTGCTGAAGACTACAGAGAAGGGTGTATCTCCGACAGCCAGGCTGCTATTGAGCAGTCTAGATAATGCAGAGGGTCATGCAGCACAAAAATGGAGAAAACCCGGCAATAAGCGTTGCTTACAGAAACGTGGACTGGGAGAGGATGAGTAATAGAGCTAAATTTTTAACCAAGCCAAACCAGAAAATGCATGGACTTGAAACTCAATTTACAAAACATTCTATGGTGATGGCACTGCTAAATTTGTGTGGATATATCTTTTAAGGATATTACTATTTATTCTCCACCGGAACAGAGGCTACAGAGCATCAGTATAACTAGCCCAACCCAAACCAGCTTGGCAAAAATAAAAGTTAAGATATAATTTACATAGTATACTAATAGGCTTTTCATATCAAAATGCTGTTATAAAAAGGTGACTTCTTATTTAGAGCATTTTTGTTCAGCTTAAAAAAAAAAAGCACCAGCAAAATATCTTGGCATAATAATTTGACAAATAAGAAATGCTAATAAAAAAGAGAGCTGTGTGTGCTTGTGACCTAGCAGCAACTACATGTAAAACATAGTACAAAATATCAGAAAACCTTATGAGAAGACTGAACAAGCTCTAATCCATACAGGAATTTGTCATACAACATGGATTCCTACAAGTGGAGGAAGAAACAATGTAGATTTTATCTATACTGTATATGTAACTTAATATTCTTACTGCTGTTTTATATTATTGCATTTGTTAAAGCAAACTGTACATGATCAGTTGATGATTAGACTTAAAATTAGAACTCCTACACTCTTTCTATCGCTAAGAACAAAATTAGTTGGGGTTTTATTTTGACATTTTATCCATCAACAGAATTAGTTCAGCATACTAAAATAATACGAAAGGCATATACATCATTTTAGTTATTTTATAGGTCTACATTTCAGGCATAACTCCAGCCACAGTTAAGTGTCTCTAAGTGGAGGGAGGCCAGGCTTTGATCTCCTTCAGGTGTGTGTACTGTTCTTCAGGACCCTGGTAGGAATATTTCACTTCCCCACACACCAACGTCAGGTCCTACTCTACTGAGAGTTGATCTTACTGGTCCCTTGGCAGTGGTCATGTGACATGGAAAGGCTGAAGAATGCTTGAAGCTGTCATAAGGATGGCAATGCACTAAAAGATATCGGGGTCAATTTTCTAAAGGCAACTAAGCTATTCACCGTGCAAGGGAATTTGCACATTGCAGGGGAAGTTTCCCATTAGTTTAGTGAATGAGGTGAAGCTCTGCTTACTTCCATCATCCAATCATATGCAAGCAAATATACTATATGCTTTTTTCCCTTGCAAATGATTGGGTATTCTTTGCAAAGTGAAATTTCACCTTATTCACCAAGCTAAGGGGAAACCTGCCCTGCAAAGTGCAAATACCCTTGCAAAGTGAACAGTCAATCTACCTTAGTAAATCAACACCTTTGTCTCTGTGTAGTACAACAGTAACTCTACATATATGGCCACCCTTATAATAGAAATATAGCATTTTACAGCTATGTATTTCATCAGTTTCCACATTTCATCATTTTTGTTCTGCTAAAATACTGCTAGATGTTATTTTGTTGAAACCTGAGATTGTGTGTCTCACTATTGATGCTGTGATTTCCTAGGTTAACATGCTCCTAGCAACTGTAAACAAATCTACCTTAAAGTTAGGTACAATGCCTGTTTTTCGTCTTAAAGGAAAACTGTCAAGTCTCAGTAGGCAACAAAGTAATCATGTTGCTGTACCGAAGGCACTATAAGGTGGCTGATCCATCCTTGAAATTGTGTCTTGCGGGCCTTATCCACCAATAAAGCCAATAAGAACAAATTTCCAGGTATAAAGCAGACCTATATAGTTCTTCCAGCCTCATGCAATGGATTACTTGGTGGCTACCTAGACTGGAGCACTGTCACAGAGGGCATTGCCTTTCCCAGGGGAGATACTGGAATACATGATAAAGTTGTACACTGCAGAGGCAGTACAGGGAATTGGGCAGCACTGTAAAGGTAGGAGCAGGCATCTAAGGTTGCCTGCCGTACTGCTGCACGGTTACTTTGTGGCCTATGGTGTGTTTTCAGTAAGAAAGCATGTTGCATATTTTTGGTTGCAATATTAGCTTTTACATTTTTAAATGCTTGCTGTTCCATATGACTGTATTTCATATGCTGATATGTATTTTCTCCTCTTAGGAGTTATTTGTATACCAGACAGTGTATTCAGCACCCCTGCAGAACAAATGCAGAGGATACTCTATTATTTTTAGTCAGTCTGAGTAGACTAATAGGATAGCACTACCTAGCTTGAGGAAATACAAAAGCAATCTGGGCAGAGTGTCTAACCCATTCAATCGGAGATCCTCACGAGAGTTCTCGACCTGCATGTCTGCCTGCCAGCGTAGTGATGAGACTGTGTCATCTAAAGCAGCAGCCGCCAACCGATGGTCTATGGACCACTTGTGGTCCGCGAGAAAATTTTGGTGGTCCCCGGGCCCCTCTAATGCCGTGCAGGCTGGGTCGTCATTGAAGCGGCACAGAGGCTCCGGGGCTGCCTCTCACTGACTCAAGCAGCGGCTGTCACAAGGAATGAGCGGCTCTGAGTACAGTGTGGGCTCTATAGGAGGCGGGGCATCTCGTCAGTACCTGGACTGAGCAGGCTGCGGGACATAGAAAAAGTGGGGAGAAGCCAGGTAACAGTGGCTCAGTGTGGGGGAAGGGAAGGCACGGTGATGGTTGGAGGCAGTGCTGAAATATGTGTATATATACTGCATGTATATATAGATATATTCTCATTTTTTTGTTTCCTCATATATAAATATACATGTGTGTGTGTGTGTGTATACACACACGAGAATATATTTATATATGAGGAAAATTCTACTACAGAACTGGTCCAGTGTCTGACATACAAGCCAGAGATATCAGTACTCAGTATGAAGTTTCCTAGTTTGATGGAATTGACCACTTCAAAAGAAAAAAAAACTACTATATAACCAACTTTTATATGCACATACCAATGCAAATAATAACCAAAATATATATGTGCCTTAATATGCTGTAATAGGTTTGGATATCCATTTTCTAAAAAATATAAAGTACAGCTGGTATTTGTAGTTCTATATAGCAGGTCCCATTCTGCATTACTTTATACAGCAATGCCATTTTTCCAACTTTTTGTGTGTGTGGTTGCTAAAGGGGATATGGGTTAGGGGGTTTGTGAGGTTATTTTTTTTGGGGGGGCGGGCAAAAATAATCTTGCACCAGGGCCCTTTGTTCCCTAGGTCCGCCACTGCTCTGAACATACACAGTTTAAAGCACCATGACTACCATGTATTTTGTCATAGCGCACTGACTGCAGCCTCTGGTTACTACTGGCAACAAAGGAATACAAGTCTCCATCAGACATTGCAAACAATCCTAGCCTCGCTGGCGCTCCTTTTCTGATTGGCTTGTCACCTCAGTCCGCCGGCCCACTCTACGATCAGGCTCCGCCCAGCTCCGTCTTCAGGCTGTCTCTGCTCTCTCGGCCCTCACTATTGACGTCACTAGCTGTCACTTGTCGTGTGTCCTTCACCCCCACCAGCCGTCCAAGCAGACATGGCCTCCGCAAGCCGGCAGCTCCTTGCACGATGTATGTCCAGCAGCACTGCAGACAAAAAGCTGGTCATCAAACATGTCACTGTGATCGGGTGCGGCCTGATGGGCTCCGGGATAGCTCAGGTGAGATCGCATGGACAGATCTGCACTGTCTTGGCCATCCTTCATAGGCAGCAGTGTGCAGACTGGCAACCTTGGCACTCCAGCTGTGGTGAAACTGCAAATCCCAGCATGCATATGTCTCTGGGAGGCATGCATTTGGCCTTCAGAGCCTTGCAGTGCATCGTGGGACTTGTAGTTCCAAAACAGCTGAAGTGCCAAGGCCTGCTATAGAGGGATTTGCATTGTTATGTGCAGTTCTTTAAGCTCTAAGGTAAAAAGAGCCTTGGATGTTCACACCTTATGTGTTGGGAAAGCACTGACAGGCTTGCCCTACGCAATCCCAACATATAGACACAACAGAAAGCTTTGTTTTCAGTGAGTGTTGCAGTGGTGTGTGCTGATAAAATAGAATGAGTGCCGTCTTTTTTTAGTGCAGCTTGTTGCAGCACAAATCACCACATCACAACACCACTGCTGGGAGTAGGACTTCATGAATTGTCACTTGTGACATTTCAATAAAGTTCTAACAAAAAAAAAGTAAAATGTGTAATGCAGCCTTGTGTTTTAGTAACTCACCCCTGAACCCAGTTTTACAACATGTGTTAGTAAAGGTATGCATATATTTGCAGCTACCTGTTGTATCCAGGCAAGTTCTACATCACTTTGTTTAGGACAAATTGGGCCTTTTGTTTGATGGTAAATAGTGATGAGCCTGGGCTTGGTGCGCCTGAGTTTGGCCAAGTCTGCTAAAAACTGCAGCAGCAGCAGGCGCATTCCTCATCCCACAGCTCCATGTCGCAAAGGGACTGGGAATGCCCCTGCTGCCATGGGTTGGGAGGGGGTGGTGGCAATCACAGTTTTGAGTGAACTGGAGGAGTTATATTGCCATAATTAAAGGTAAAGTCCACTTTAAAAAAAAAAAAGAAATACATGCACACATCTTTATAAAAGGAAAACATTTGCATGTATTTATTTATTGCTTTGGAGCCAGTAAAGCATTGCAACCGTGAACAGTGGATCCCAGTTGCAATGCTCTGACTCCTGCACATACTTCCTCCCATCCATGCCCGTACCAAGGTAACATAGATGGGAGGAAGAATGAATGGACTACAATGCGGTCACATGACTTGTAGTCTGTCCATTCACAGCTCCTGTTAAATTATCTGTAAATGGATGATGCCCACATCACACACCATTTTTAAAACTCAGAGCAGCATGAGGAGAGAAGAACCCTGCAATTCAGGTAATTGTGTGGGGGTCTGTCAGATTTCTTGTAAAGTAGATGACCAGGACTATCTGTCCTAACAAAGGGTCAAAGACCTCAAGGCATTGGACCTTAAAGTGACACTAAACTCAGGAATTAAATCTTATAAATGCATTCAAGTACCTTTTTAATTATGAACAATACTGTATCTTATTTATGTATCACTCAGCTGTAGATCATCAAATCATCTCTGAATTCATGCTGATACTGTTCTTCCTTCTGGAGGGTGGCTACTTTTCTTCCTCGTGGTCCCTGTGTGTGTTGTAAAGTAGCCACCGCTCCAAGCTCGCTCCTGTGATGAACTACAATCTCATGTTTAATTAACTAATTTGTATTGGGATTGTAGCCAATTACGGCAGTGAGCTTGTAGCGGTGACTACTTTACAACACACAGGGACCATGGGGAACAAAAGTAGCCACCCTCCAGAAGGAAGGGCAGTGTCAGCATGAATTCAGAGATGATAGGAGGATGCACAGCTGAGTGATACACTTTTATTACCAGTTAAGGTACTTGAATGTATTTTGAAGATTTATCTCCTGCGCTTAGTGTCACTTTATTGCACATTTAAAAACGTGGCAAAAATGAGTAGACATCTCCACACATCACCAAGAGTGATTGGCTTTGATCCATTACCTGCCCACTGGCAAATAAATATTCCAACTGCAATAAACAGTTTTTGGTAGTGCAGAGAAGAATGCCAGCAAAGGCAAGGCTTTAAGGAATCAATGGAGTTCACAGCGTCATTGGGTTGACTATGTACACTATGGTGATGCATAGCCTCCATTTGTGGCCTATCCATTACCTGTTGTATGTGGTACCACCGCTTGCTGTCCACCTGCTCTCATTTGAATGACCTTAAAGGGGTTTAAGGTGACTTTTCTACGCTATTCTACAGTTTAATTTACTAAAGAAGTAGAACATGTAAACTTTAAGACCCCTTTCACACCTAGGCATTTTGTCACTCAAAGGTAAGTGGGACAAATCGGTCAAGACAAGGAGAAGTGGAAAAGAGCTAGCACTCACAGCAATCCTCTTAATGGTGTTTATTGAAAAGGCATATAAATAGCTGCAATAGCACCCTTTGTAGCTGCGTTTATGCCTTTTCAATAAAGAAACGCTATTAAGGCCTTGTTCACACCCAAAGCGTGTGCGTTCCAGAGCGGTAGCTGCTGGAATGCACCGCGATCGCTGTGAAACTTCCCCCCGCGGTTTGGGGCGGGAGGGGGAGTGGCACCGATTCCACCCCCCACAGTGCGATCGAACGCGTGGCTTGCCCTATTTTTTTTGGGGGGGGGGGGTCGTGGAAGCGGTGCCATTGAATACAATGCACCGTCACGCCCCAAAATGCGGGGGGAAGTTTCACAGTGATCGCGGTGCGTTCCAGCAGCTACCGCTCCGGAACGCACACGCTTTCGGTGTGAACATCCCCTAAGAGGATTCCTACGAGTGCCATCTCTTTTCCACTTCATTTTGTTAATTGGGTCCGGCAGAGATTCACGCTGAGCACCGCGGTCCCCATGGAGTTTTGGGTCTGAGAAGGTAGAGGGGCTTTATTCTTGCATTGCATGCTCAAGACAAGGAATCCCATTAATTTCTATGGCCGTTGTTCACACCTGAGCATTTTGTCGCAAGCAGAAAAACGCCTGCCGCTGGAAAAAGTACATGAGCTATTTTTTGGCAGATTACAGCTCTTTTTGGTCCCATAGATTTCAATGGGAAAGTTGGTGTGACAAACACTCCGGTGTGAACAGGGGCCATAGAAATGAATGGGATTCCTGGTGTTGAGTGTTTTTTCACGCTTAGCTTTCAGTGACAATATGCCTTAGGCCTCATTCACATGGCTGCTGAGGGCCATATATTGTAATAAGGAGTGTGATTTCTGCAACCGGGATTTACAGGGGTTTGCATACATCCGTAGGGAGCAGTTTGTACAAATCAATGACAGACATCACCAATGTACTTACATCTAAGTGTTTACATACCTACAGGGATAAATGAGCTGCCCAGGATGCAAACCGTCTGTGTGCAAGGCTGCTCATCTTTCCTTGTACAGATGAGATGTACATTATGTACAGATGTGGTGTCTCTCATCATGTGACTCCCAGATATTGTGCTCCATGTATGCTGTAGGGCCTTCAGCGGCCCTGTGAATGAGACTTAAAAACACATTTTCACTTATCTTGGTGAATGAGGTGTAACAGTGAACAATTGGCTTTGCGAAGAATACTCAATCATATTCAAGGAAGATTAAAGGAGAACTATGAGGTGGGTGCTTTTCACTCACCTCATAGTTCTAGCCGACCTGTGACAATGAGACTCTCACAGGTCGGCTCAGTAGATCGGGAGGTGAGCGAACACATACCGGCGTTCGCTCACCTCTCGATCCTGGATTCCCCGCTCCGATCCGCCAGCGCTGACTGGCGGAACGGACGCGGGAGGGAGCTGGTACAGCTGGCTCTGCCTCTAGATAGGCAGAGCCAGCTGTCAGTCAGCTGGGCGGATCCCGGCACAATTGTCGGGATCCGCTTCAGCTGC